AGAAATTAATGTGCTCGAGAGATGTGAAATTTATGTAATTTAATGTTTTGTTTCTTGGTTGCTGCTTGAAATTATGTGATGAAAAGAATTATTTGCTCGACTGTTTTTCTTTTTTCACGCCTTGCAGATGGCAGCTAAGCCCTTAACAAGCGAATCAATTGCTCTAGCTGAGAAGAAAATAAATATGAGCTTAGGTATGGTTATCAGCATTTTTTTTTTTTTTTTCTTTCCAAGTTTGCTTGTTTTATGGATTTATGTTTGTTATGGTTTTAATTTTGCTTCCATGGCAACGCAGATGATATTATCAAAATGTCTAAGACTCGTGATAAGAAGCATAAGAAGCAAAGAGTTCCGGTAAGATTAATTCTTGTATTTGAAATCAAGTCTACGTTGCCGGGTTGATTCTGAATTTGCTGGGATACCTGCAGAATAAGGGTCAGAAGTTTGTTAACAATGTTTCTCAAGACAAGTCTTCAAAAGTTCGGAGATTTATGGACACAAGGTCCTCGTTGAGACAGGTATGTCTCAAAGCCTTAGGGTGCTATCTTGCGGTGTTCTGGGTAGAGTAGCTGAGGCCCCTTATTTATTTATTGTGCAATTTTTGGTTCTATTCTGACAGGGTGCTCTTGCAAAGCGGAGGACAAATTTTCAGGGAAATCAGTTCCCTCTGGCTGCGGAGGCAGCTAAAAAGGCTGCTGCTGCTCCTATCCGCAGTAGAGCTTTCAGCAGAAATAGGCAATTTAATGTGAATACAAGGTAGTTCTACAAGTGATTATGTTTTAAACAGATTGTAGATCATAGATGGTTACATGGTAGTGGCTTATGGATGTCCTGATTTGTTGTAGGTAATTTTGTGGATCTTTGTATTGTTTCCTTATCCCTATGGCCTGCTTTAAGTTAGGTGATGGTATCAGCAGGTGGCTTCTGAGTGTTATGTTAATATATAAAGTGTGCCGGGTCATCCTTATTATTAGTCAGCATATTAAAATTCATCCTCCTGGCAGCTGCATCATGTAGAGTACAATGAAATGAGTCTTGGTTGGTTTGTTGCGGGAAAACAATGCTTTTTTGTCATTGTTAAGTTAGTTAAGACGTCATGTATGGAAGCTATGAGTAAATTTGAAGTTATGCATTTGATGTAGAGTTCAATCTGACCCTTAATCTGTGGCTTTATCCGTGATAGTTTCCTGGCATGGAATGGATAGGATCCGGGCCCTCTCGATGTTGCTAATTGGGCACTATTGTATATTTGTACTTCTTAAGATGCAAACCATCGTTTGAAGATTAACATCATGGATGATTCTCGCCAAATTGAAGAAATTGATTTGTCCCAATTTTGATACCACAATTGTACATGGACAAGTTTGTGCAATTGGGGAACAAAGTATAGTAAATGAAGTTTATGCAGATCAAGTCATTGCCTGTAGTCTGTCTGACTATCTCTTGAGCTTTAGTCGTGCATAACACATTTCATTATTTACACCTAGGAGATCGACTACTATGCGAACTTCAACTTTTGTGCAGGTTTACTCTATATTTCACATGATGATTCATATCTGACGTATCTGGATCAAATTGAGATCCATTGTTACTTCACTTCTGGATGGACTATTCAGCTGCCAATCAAATTGTGATTCATTGTTACTTCACGTTGAAGTTGCTTTCCAAAAATATGTTACAAATTTCCGGGTGCTTCTTGGGGTTTGATTAATCTTCTTCTCTAGCTTGTGCAATTATGGAGACCTTTTCCTGCTGAATCATGCACACTGACCTTTTTTCACTTTGTATTGAAAAAGTCTTGACAAGTTTAACTGAATAAAAAGATAATGAGCACATCAGATACTGCCTATAGTTTATATCTCCCTCTTGATTTGATGGTTACAAACTGCATAATAAAATGGTAATGAGAATGGTGAGCTTTTTATGTTCCTTTTGGTTGTTGATGATGGTTGAGCATGTTCTTGTATTCAGATATACCAGTCAATGTTCTTTCATCTGACATTTTTTCCCGTCCCCCAATTTCATTTGGTTATTCTTGTGCAGGGTTGAGGCAACGTCTGTCAGGAAGAATTCTTCAAATAGAGGTGGATTTAAGGTGAGTACTATTGATGGAAGTCTGTATTTTTTGCGATAGTAGCAAAATGCATCTTTTTAAAAATAAAATAAAAATGAATGGCTTGAACTCTCAGAAGTTCAAACTGCTTTTGAGTTTTGAGACGACAACTTGTTGAATACTTTTTCCATGTCAAGGATGCATGCATGTCACTCGCTGCTTGTCGGAGCTTGTGGTTGTGTTATTTGTAGTGACATTTTATTTTTTGCCCTGAGACAAGAGAGAGAAATTTTGCCCTGTATACTATTTTTCTCGAAATATTTGAATTTATTTGTTGATTCCTTTATTCTCCTTCTGCAGAAAGCAGTGCAACAAACCAATGGTGGCCCCAAGCAGAAGCCTCAGACATTGGACTCACTCTTTGCTAACATGAAGGAAGAAAGAATGAGGTCCGTCTCTCGACAGAGCAATGGGTCGGGAAGAAATGGTGGGACCCGACATGTAGTTCCTTGGGCAAGAGGTCATCAGTACAAGTAATACATTGCAGCCCAAGTCTTGTGAAGATATAAGCTTTTTTTAGCTCATTTGTATAGTTTGGCAAGTTTTAACTCATGCAGAGTTGGTTTCAAATCTATACATTTGACGATCCACGTTGATAAAATAAATCTTGTGCTCGTTTGACAATGTGGGATTTATTGTATCGTCCTTTTTTTTTCGTATTTTGCCAATTATTGACAGGAGTGCTAATCAATTGTCGGTCTTTCTTGGTGTGATTATCTACGAGCTTACTATATAAGTGCTATAAGCAGGTTCTGTCAAAGTTTGTATACCCATGGGTGTGTATTATGAGATGTGTATAATGAACTCTTGAAAACATCTCATAAGATGTTGAGCAATTTTTTTCAAAAGAGCTTGTAAGATTTTTTAGATATCTAAATTTTACAATGATTTTTTTATAGCTTTAGATGTTGATACTCACGAAATTACGTTGGTCAAACCCAAAAAAATGTAAAAATAAGTTTTTTATTCTTCTAAAATGTGATAAAGTTTTTAACAACCTATTTCCCACATCTCTTTGAAATATATTTACCTGAAAAATTACCGAGTCCAGGGTGAGTGTAAAGGAGTCGAACTCATATATCAATATTAACGAGTCGAGTTATAAACTATTATTTAAAAAAATATTTTTTGAGCTTTTAAGGAGCCAAGTTAATTTTATAAATGAATTGAACTCAAACAAGCCAAGTCAGATTGAGTCGCTTCCCACGAGCAGCTCGTTTCATGCAACACATGTGGACTCAAGTTTATGTATTGGAAACTGAATTATTACGGAATTATACTCTTGGGAAAGTTTGGATGGAGTTTGGTTTGCACCAAGTTCTTCTGCAATAACCTGATACAACACACACACACACACACAAACATACTTATACCCTGATACAACACACACACACACACACACACACAAACATACTTATACGGACGTGTGTTGATCCAATGATAAAAAATAAAAATAAAATAAAATAAAAACTCAGTTTTTGTTGCTTAACAACCTGTCGTGATGGCAACGTTATCGTATTTCACTATCATGCTGTTTGTGTTGTGTATTATCTTAACCAATTTTAATTATTTTTTTTTTTAAAAAAAGTTCCATCCCGTGAGGTATTTAATTTGTTTGACACTAAAAATTATTAGGAATTTAAAGATTTATATTCAAAAACAAGAAGAAGAATAAGAAGATCAATAGGCAAATAAAAAATATAAATCATAATTGACACACCCAACAATCCTTTAGTCAACTATACCAGGGATTACATATTATTCCTATCTCAAATAAAAACAGTCTCAACATTCAAATTTCACTTCTAACAAGAGAAACATATTTTCATAAACCTGATAAAATATCAACAAAATATGAAAAACAGTGGCTGGCACTACAGAGTACAAACACATAACCTTCTCCAGAGATACACATTAGATCTCTGTGACCCTTTTTCATCATTCGTAAGATGGTGCGAGACATTCATCGACCATATTGACCAGGTTAGGATTTTCTAACGCTGCAGCCACTCGTTCCTTATCGTGCAGCTGTTTATTAACTGCAAACATATATAATAGTCTTCAGATTAATATATATAAGTAAAATGCGAATAATAATAATAATAATAAAGTACGGGAGTGAGTCAATAACTATATACTGCAAACAAGAGAAAATGTTCCAAGATTATATATATAATATATACTAGTAATCACCCGTGCGATGCACGGGGATATAATGAGTTGTGAGCTTTTTAGAAGGCAATTTTGTATATATATTGTGTAATAACGCAATGATCATGATCATAAGAATAGACATATAAACATATAATTAAACTGAAACATATATTATTGAACACTTCCCTATATACAACATTATTGGTTTGATTTTTTGGCACGTCATCTTCGCCAGATTTTCAACCCTTTTCGGTTAGTGACACGGGAGACAACAACATATAATTGGTCATGACTGAACACCGATTTCTTAAGAAATAAGCCAACATGAGATAAGAATTGTCCATGGCTCTTGTTTATAGTCACGATGTAAGAACCATAATGGGAAAGTCGCCGCTGGAACTTGAAATGAATTCTAACATCAGAAGTTATGACCATTTTTGGAATTAATACTATATCACCATGCTCCTGTAAGTATCTATACTTACATTCAAGGTAAGTATCTTACATTCAACAACATGAGTGGATAGTTTTGTCACAACCAATCGTGTCCCACTACACAAGCCCATAGAATGATCCTTGCAGTCCCATTACACAAACCCATAGAATGATCCATGCAACAACATGACTGGAGTTCCAATCTTCAAATACAACTCATGGTTCGGTATTCCGGAACACTTGATACTATTCAAAAACTCAGGCGTATGGAGATCAGACAAAAAAATATTATTAGAATCCGATCTGCACATACTATCAGAGCTCAAGTACATACGACCATCCAACAAATTCAATGATGTCATGTACTCATTGATAGACTTGAACACATCTAATGTCGGCGCTAATATAACCCTATCCTTCAAATAACTTGGATCTTCAGGTGCCTCCTTATACATTGGATATGTGATTTCAACAATTTGAGCAATAGGATCATCAGATGGCTGAAGCAAAATATCTTCGAATGTGTCTATAAGTGCACATCCATCATTCGACCCCCCGATAGTTCCATCTCTGATGTTGGTTATCCAATCTGCAAACCGTGCAAGCTCATCACGTTCATCCGCATTACCAAGTCCTTAAAGACGCATGTTTTTCGTAAGCCTAAGCACAGTATAATTTCTCCATATGTCATAAGCATTAATAGCAGCATTGACTATGTCCTGACGGCTACCCTTTGGAATGACATGAAGGATTTGTTGAAAATCTCCACAAAAAACAATCGGCTTCCCACCAAACAGTTTGTTGAGGTTCAAAGGATCAATTGCTCCCATCAAATGGTTTATTTTAAACATTTTAAGTGATTATTACTTTTAAATGATTAATATGATGTCAACCTCTTTTGGACATTTTGAATAAATAAGCTAATTGGAAGCATGTATAAATAATGAACACGTGGTCTTATTGAACGAACATATTAAGATACAAAATAATTGAAGAAAAAAATTAAAGGCAAATATAAGTTAAAAGAACAAAATAAAAATTTATAAGAGAAGATGACAAAAATATTGAATAATTAGAGTAGAAAAAAGAAAAAAGTTAAACAAAAAAGAAAAAACACAAAAAGAAAATACAAAAGATTTACATGGAAATAATTACAATTTATTTTCTATAAATCCATATAACTTTGAAAATTAATTTGTGCATGCGTTTATGAAGGCACATGCCTTTTTAAATTTTTTTTTGCCAAATTTCTTCTTTTCACGTATCAGGTGGAATCTCCTTTTCCTCCGTATTTTTTTTCGATCATGAGTTATCCTCAGATTATTGTTCTTATATTCTCTCTACACCATTAATTTTGAATTCAAACAGTGATATTAATCCATGTGTCTTTTAGTTGTTTTCATGCTTTCTATATATAGAATGTCAAAGGTATTATTTATTTGGTCAAAACTTTTCAAAAAGGATTTAAACAGCCTTTTATTTATAGAGAGAGAGGGAGAGAGAGAGAGAGAGAGAGAACCTGCAGCTTCGGTGGCATGAGTGCCGGGTGCAACTCTAATATCCACCTGAGAGCAAAAATCAAAGTAACACTATTCGGATCAAAGAATTCAGGGGGAGAAAAAAACGCTTCATAGATCACAACATACTATCAGAAGCAAATAAAAAAAAAAAAAAGCCTCTAAAGCATGTATATTTTTTATTGTGTTCTTCCAGACGGACCAACAAAAAACATTACAAGCCATAGCTGCACATATAAATGCACCAAGTTGCAAACAGTAAATGGTACAGAGTAAAGGCATGTAGCCCAAAGTGAATTTTAAGCATACCTTAAACCGAGATGGCAAAGAGCGCATAAGTTTGACTTGCAAGCACAATCCAATCACGGTTGCCATGCTGCAATGCTGTACAGTTGGGGTGAACGTGACCCTAAAGCAAATCGACTAATTTATAGTGCGATGGCATTAAAAAATAGGTACACACAAGTAAAACGAAAGCAAATACATAACCGGAATATAATTTTTTTTTTCTACCTTATGTGACTCCTCTCATTATCTACTTCAATAGCATCTTCTGATATGACATTGAGATCCTCCAAGGTGTAAGGGTGTTCCGGATCTTTAATGTCTCTAATATGCTGTGTGAAAATTAAGGAGTACAATACGTTTTGCGGTAGAACTATAGAGATATGTTTTCTTCTCTAACTCATAGACTATCCCAAGTCCCAACGGGAAGGAGATCGACCACAAGGAAAACCAGATTAAAAATCAGTTGATGATCTCAACTTCACCAGGACTATATAATTTATAAAATGTTCCAAGAAAAAACGTTCGGTGCATGAATGAAATCGAAATAGCTTCAGTGAATGATTTGGCTTTAACTTCAGTTTTGAGACGCGTATATAAATTATAAACCAGAATCCACTGCTACTTAAGAAGAGACCCATATCTAATCCGATATATATTACCCAATATGTTCACATAGAATGAAAAGCATAACATATAAAAAGGATATCGAAAATTTCTTAACAGTCAATCTGCTCGACTGAATATTCATCCACATCACTTGGAGCACTGCGTGCCCGACGCTCCTTTTTCCCGTACACGATTGGGTTTGCATTTATGAGGCTTATGACCATAATGACAACTTAAAATGAGACAAAATCCAACATTAGCTAAATTGACTAGGAAAAAAAAAAAGCACTAAACACAATCCGATGAACCGTTTGAAAGACTTTGGGGCTAAATCGGGGCAAGAAATGTTCAGAAATACAACAAACTGCAATGTTGTACACCCAAAAAAAATGTACGACATTTCATCATAGCATAAGTCCGTGATTTTACTAAAAGGGTACATCGGGTCAGACGCGCCTAACGGGCAGGCTCGACTCACACAAAAGTCCACATATACTACCCTCCAATCCCCTGCTACCCAGATGATCAAAATAGGCAAAAATGTTCTTACATAATATGAGAACAGCCCCAATCAGACAAATATTAATTCATCCACAGCAAAATATGAACATAAAAAAGTTAATAACTTTCAGCAATAAAACCAATCAGAATTCGCAAACTACGCAGAATTTACTCAGGCCGTGTAAAAATCCCAACACAGGGCTGCGCGAACACTTTGAATGTAAAATCAAGAGAAAATAGCACCGATCAAGAACAACTTACGAAGATCTAATTCCTGAAAATTTATCCCAATTTTCGGAATTCGTGGTCAATAATTTGGCGCGAGCGAGCGAAACCCTAAGCGTAGATTGAATATTTTTGAGTTGAAGTTTGGTCTGAGTTGGATATGTTGGAAAGAGGTGCAATATTTAATCAGAGCTGTGATTTTCTGTGAACGAATTTGAGTTGTGATTGATTTTATCAAAATTTAGTGTGTCGACTTCAAATTTCAACGAGTCAAACTATAAAATTTAACGTAAAAACGTATATTTTCTATGCATAATACCGTCTTAAAAAGTGGAGTTAACTTCAGACTCATCAACTACGCGAGTTATAAAATGAGTATGAACCCGATCGATCTAAACTGAAACTTTAACGAGTTGAGTCAAAGAGTTGTATCCATACGCATGTCGATTCGTTTTAACTTGCATGTATGGTCAAATCTCTTTAGTTCTTAGCTAAGGAAATTGACCTAAAAGGGAAAACTTTCGAAAATTATCACTCATGTCTATTATAATTTTTAAATTGCAAAATATTCGAATAATATTGGTAAGCCTACAATTGTTAGACAACGATACATTTTTACGAATCTATATAGTTTTAAATTAAAATGTCATATGAGTGAGAAATAACATAAACAATCACGTTTCATTATATATATTTTTTCATTTTTATTATAAAAGTATGACCGATGAACTTGCTTACCGGTTGGACCACCTAACCGATGAATTTATGGGTTAAGAATTAATATAGTGAAATAGGTGAAGTTCCACAACTCACATTTAGCAACTACTCCACTCATACAAGTGCAGTTTCTTTAATTAGCAAAATCACAAAAGGGGAAGTAGGTGAAGTTCCACCATTCAATTATAATCTTCAAGAATTGTAAAAGAACACAAAAATTGAACACAATTTAAATGCATAATACACAATGTCATAGTAGTTGAATTATATTATAAGAAAAAAGTTTTATATGATCTCAATAGTTAAATTATATTATAGGGTATGTATGATGTTCAAAGATCACGAGATATTGACAAATAAGTGGTGCGCACGTCTTAGTATGCTCACGATAGTTCGGTAAATTTTTTTGATAACAGTCTTGCTCTCGTCCTCATAGTGACACGAGATAATTTTTTCACAAGTTGATGTAGTAATAAATTAACATACCACGATATAGTGTTCGAATAATATCAAAAGATATTGACACATAACTGTTGACCTAATATATCAACGATGATAGGCATTCGAATATAATATTACGACTTTTGACGAATTTGTATTTTAATAACGATCTTTAAACCACAACCTTCATTTTTTTTAGCGACAAATTATATCGTAAGTTTATTTTAGATTTTGTTTGTTTCTTTTCTTTACAGTTATAAACGAATGTGCAACAGTCTGCAAACAAAATGAAGATTACAGTATAATTTACAAAATTTTAAAGTTCATGATTAAAATGTAAATTCTTCAAAGATCGTTATAGACAAATATGCAACAATCTGCAAACAAAATGAATATTACATTATAAATTACAAAAAGTTTAAAGTTCATTATTAAAATGCAAATTCTTCAAAGATCGTTGTATTACGTATAATTTTATTTTGTGAAATTAATAATTTAACTATTTTATGGCAAACAAATATAATAATGAATATCAAGAAGATATATATATATATATTCATATAACATGTAAAATGATATTTTGATTTTCACCATTAATATAATTGGTACTTATCCAAATCAAATTCTAACTCTTTTTATTTTTTTATTTTTAAACACCCGTGGGTGAAAGAACAAAAAAAAAAAAAAAAAAAAAAAAAAAAAAAAAAAAAAAAAAAGATCTTATAGGCGTGATAATCCTCAATCAATAGCAGTAATTGTTGTGTTGGGCGAGCTTTAAATTAATTATGTCATTTTTTAGGTTTTAATTAATTAATTATTTGATTCTCAAACATGTTTTCCCCACACAACCCACTTTAACTTTTTTCCGTTGACTTTGGAGCATAAAATTGCTTTATGTATACTGTCAAAAATAATTTTAATTTTATTTATTTAGAATGGCTGATTTTTTTGGTTGTTAATTATAAAATATTACCTATTTATATAGGGCAATGCTATATGTACACCCCCTTTTAATAAATTACACAAAGAAAAGTGCTATATGTACACCCCTTTTTTACACTTAAAGGGGTGTACATATAGACACCCCCTTTATATATACTGTTAAAAGTGAATTGGGGCACACAGTATTTATGTGCTAAAAATAGACTAATAGATAACATTATTTGTGGAAATGTATATATAAATTTCACTATTGTTATGGTAAACGGAAATGTATAAAAGCAAATTCCCTTTATTTAATAATTCAGAACGCGACGAGTTTAAGTGGCAGACTCGCACGCTTTGAAATTCTATATGGAAAATTATATACTTCGTTATTAGGTTTTGATAAATTTTAATTTACTTTCAATCCAAAAATTATATGCTTCGTTATAAGCTTTGATAGTTTATATGTTTCGTTGTTGGATTAATCATTTTTTGTATGATGCACTTGCTACGTCCTACTAGGATTACTATAAGAAACGAGAGTCTCATGAGCTCACTCGATATAAAGCTCGAAAATAAAATTCTTTACGTAATTTTCTCACTTGATATAAAGCTCGAAAATAAAATTCTTTACGTAATTTTCTCACTTGATATAAAGCTCGAAAATAAAATTCTTTACGTAGTTTGTGCGTTGAGACTCGTCAATATTGATAAATAAGTTATATTTGAGTTTGCTTATCTGCTCATTTAGTTATTCGATTCCGATCTGATAAAGATTCAAAACTTGATATCGAATATAAAGTTCAACCTCGACTCGATTCGACTCATTTACACTTCTAATCGTTAGTAGTTTCTTAAAAAGCCCCCACCATCGATCTATATAGCTGTAAACGAACCAAATCTAGTCGGGCTAAGAGCTATACAAAAAAAAATATCTTTAAATCTTTTATTTTCTATTAAATAATTATAGCTCATGCTATGTGCTGCTAAAGGGGTAATCTTATTGAGACCAATTTATTAACCTTTTTGATTGTCGAGCTAACAGAGAACTCCTCCATTGGAGTCTCTAAAAAGCAGATTTTATTGATTTATTTATTTTTATTTTTTATTTTTTTTAGCCAGCCACGGTATCTGAAGTCATGTTCCGACTAATACGTTGGTCGACCCGGGTCACACACCTGGCAGTGATAGGTGAGTTTTCCAATAAGAGTTTTCTGCATTCACATAAACTCGAACCCGAGACCTTGCTTAAGCGACATCAAACTGCTTACCACTTTAGTCAACTCGGGTTGGTATTTATTTATTTTTTAATATAACGAAAAGCCAGCGAATTTTCGACTACCCTACTGATTTTTGATTCATTCACCCCTGTAAACCTACCTACCCATTGTCCTTTTTTCTCTGGTACGTGTGCTCACAAAAGGGTCTTTAATTTTCACCCTTTCCCCACCATTTCTTTATTAACTCGTAAAGCCATTGGCTTTCTTGAAAGTTGATTTATTTTATTTTCACCTTTTTACTCTTTTTTTTTTTATTGACATTTCTCTGTGCGCCCATCTTTATCTATTTGTTTTTCGGACCTTAGACCTGGAGAATTTTGGCTTTTATGTGGTTTTTGTACACGGGTCAGGTGAGGAGGTTTGGCTACGAAGCTGTATGTCGATTTTTTAGGTTAGAAAAATCTTATTATTTTACTCGAATTTGAGCTCTGAAGATTTCAACGTTCAGAATCTTGAAGCTTTTCCTTTCACTAGTTTACCACTTTGACTCGAAAGTTTCTTGATTTTTTTTTTTTTTTTTTTTTTTTTTTTTTTTTTTTTTTTTTTTTATTTTCCCCTTTGTTTTTGCACGTTTTATGTGAATTGTGAGCTGTTTGAGTGCCTTTCTAGCTGAAAAGCCCGTGCTTGGACGGTTGATTTTTCTGGGTTTTGATAAAAATTTAACATTTTGTGTTCGATTGAATCATTTCAGATTTGAGAGCTTCCAAATCTAGCCATGGTGTGAAAAAAAAAAGGTTAATTTTTGCTTCGTTGGTGAAGAAATGGCTTCCTTCCCCATCATTCACTGCGGCTCCGAGTTGGGATTTTGACGAAAATCTGTGTAAAACAGACCAATTATTAGCTGCCTTGTAGTATATGCAAATCTTGTTCAGTCCTCGTTGCTAATTATTGAGAATTTATTGGATATTTAGTTCTGATTATTTGTTTTTTAGCAAAAAAATGGAGAAGAATGGGGCAGATAACTGGAGGGAGATGGTCAGGAAAATGCTTCCACCAGGTGCCCCCGTCCCAGATGAGGACAAAATGGACTACTCGATTGCCCTCGAGTACAGTGGGCCACCTGTCCCATACGACCTGCCAAGAGCTGAGCCTCTCGACTTGAACCCCGACCTAATCCCAACTGCCGACCCACTCTCCGAGTCCAGAGGATCGATATCCCGCGACTCGGTCCATCCTGTGATGGACCCAATCCCTCTTCCCAGGGCCCGTGTATTCGTGAACCCGACCGATCATCCCTCCAGAAGAAGACCGTCCCAAAGTACCGAGTCAGTTGTGTCCGTTTTGCAAAACGACGATTTTTACTCTCGTTCGGGCTCGGGCTCCCCAGGCTCAATCCACAGCCGTAGTAAGGGCAGTGCCCCTCCCAACGAGGCGAGACGGCCAATGGTGGTGACTTTTAACACAGGCGATAGGTCCGAAAGGCGATTGGCTGACGGTGAAAAGCAGGTTTTCCCCGAATATGTTGTGGGCTTAGCCAAGGAGAAAAAGAAGAGAAAAAAGGCGAGGGTTTGCTATAGGTGCGGGAAAGGGAAGTGGGAGACTAAAGAGTCTTGTTTGGTTTGTGATGCGAAATATTGCAGTAACTGCGTGCTTCGGGCAATGGGCTCGATGCCCGAGGGGCGCAAGTGTGTGACGTGTATAGGGGAGCCGATTGATGAGCTGAAAAGGTGCAGATTGGGTAAACACTCGAGGGTTTTGTCTCGTTTGTTAAGCCCGTTGGAAGTTAAGCATATTATGAAGTCCGAGAAGGAGTGTGCGGCTAACCAGCTCCGGCCGGAGCAGTTGATTGTGAATGGGTATCCTTTGAAGTCGGAGGAAATGGCGGAGCTTTTCGGGTGCCCATTGCCACCTAGGAAGTTGAAGCCCGGCCAGTATTGGTATGACAAGGAATCGGGTCTTTGGGGAAAGGTAAAAAGAATTTGGTTTTATTTTGTAAGAGTTTAATTTATTGTGTTGTTGTCCCTACATGTTTGTGAAGTAAAATATGATTGTAAAGTTAATGATGTTGGATTTGACAGGAGGGAGAGAAGCCTGATAGAATTATAAGTTCGAATTTGAATTTCACGGGAAAACTAAGCCCGGACGCGAGCAATGGGAGTACTGAGGTGTACATGAATGGTCGAGAAATCACGAAGCTTGAACTGAGAATACTGAAGGTTCGTAATCCGGGGATTTTATTTAATCTGTTTTGGATGTGTTTGTTCTTGTCTATGTTGAAAAATATGGAGAAATGGGATGTGTTAGAAGCTAAGGGTGTGCTTGGATACAAATATATCCGCTCAAAACGGGTTTTTTTTGGTAACTATGGTTAATTTTGGAAAAGTTAGTATGGTTAGTTGTTAGTGGAATTTTGAGTTTATATTAAAATAATACTTGTAATAAAATAATTAAAATTGAATTGATGTAAAAGTAAGAGAGATATGATGTGAAGTGATGGTTAGTTAAAATTATGTGACTGAATTGGTAGTGAATTAAAGATGGTGGATGCGTAAGAATGAATGATTGATATTATTTATTTATATTGATAATATTGAGATAGTAGAGTTGGGTTAAAGTTGAGTTAGGTTTTGAGTATGAATTAAGTAAAAATTGAGATAATTTATAAACAAACACACCCTAAAGCTTCTTTTTTGTCTCTGTAACTTTGTGGTGTCAACCCAAAGCTTAGGGAAAGGGAAGTCTAAATAATTGTTGGGTATATTTATATTGAGAGTATAAATCTACAGGTGTTTGTTTTTAGCTCTTAAGACTTGAGCATTTAGCGAGCTTCGGTACTTTACCGAAATTAATTTTGAATCCTTGTCTTCGGTTAGCTATTATGCTCATGTCTTTGTGTCATATGTTGAGAATTGAGATAGAACACTGTGACAGCACTGCGTGCTTGTTCGTGTCTCGTTTTGTTTTGCTTTCTTGAAAACTCTGATGTGTGTATGTGTGTGTGTTTTATTTATATATATATGCGTGTGATTCAGCTCGCAAATGTACAATGCCCTCGTGATACCCACTTTTGGGTTTATGACGACGGTCGGTATGAGGAGGAAGGCCAAAATAATATTAGAGGAAATATCTGGGAAAAGGTTAGCTCACGAGTATACGATAATCATAGCAAATTTCTAATTGTAGAAGCAATTTCAGGAGAGAACCATTTTAATGACACATTGAAATCTTTATCACTTTAGGCATCAACACGGTTCATGTGCTCCTTGTTCTCTTTGCCTGTACCTCAAGGTCAGCCTCATGGGCACAAGGATGAGCCTAGCAACTATATGACTGTTCCAAACTATCTCGAGCTGAAAAAAAAGATCCAGAAGCTTCTTCTTCTTGGACAGCAAGGCTCTGGTACCAGCACTATTTTCAAGCAGGTAATTTTTTATCGAGTTTCAAAAAGTGATGTTGTGATTATAGCTATTAATATTCGGAAACTTTCAATACAGGCCAAGTTTTTGTACGGGAACAAGTTTACCCCTGAGGAGCTACAGGATATGAAACTCATGATACAGAGCAATATGTATAAGTATCTCAGCATCTTGCTTGATGGTCGAGAACGATTTGAGGAGGAAGCTTTATTAGAGAGAAGAAGGCAAGCTTCTAACAAAGAAGTTGCTGAAGAAGGTATTGAACAAAAGCTCTCAATGGGAAATTATTTGTTCGAGTTTTTACATCAACAGTAGTTTTTTTTATACATCATGGAACTTTGCTTTTGTGCCGTCATAAGAGTGCCTTTTCCTCTCCTTCTCTATGGCTCTTTGCCTAGCCATGGATTGTGAAGTTACTTTCTAATATTTAGGGTCTTTTATGTTTTTCAATTTTTTACAGCTTATTTTAGAGTAAGTTTTGAAGTGTACTGTTTTGGAAGTGGGCAAACTGGTAAAAGTGGAAGTGCTGTAAGCTGAAAATCTCCATCTAGCTCACATTTATATTCGACTTTAGGAGTAGAGGCCTTAAGCGGAATTAACTTAGAAAGTGTTCTGATAGGAAAATCCAGATTTGTTTTGGCATTCTGATGATCACTGGCAATGAAATAATTCTAGTATTAACAAGAAAAGATAAATGAACTATCCTATTTATAATCTTTCAAACTAGCATAATTTTACCTGCTTTTGTCACAAAATCATTTTCTCCTATGCATCTTAATTAGCCACCTTTAAGCAACCACAGTTATCACGGATTTTATCCGAATGGTGAATTCAAAAGCTTCATAGAAGTTAAGACAACATAATATTTCGATAAAATATCGGCTTTGTGATCAATACACTACATTTGGGTACACGAGTATTTTGAGCCTTTAAAATTTCTGAGGTTTTGAAACACAATGGACTTTCTGTACGATTCAGTAACTAATTAAAAGCTACTGATTACAAATTATTTTTCTAGTGCTTTCGCTTCTTGTCGTGATCGAATGCTGTAACCTTTTGCAGGGGAAGTTACTGATGATAGTAATAATAACCAATGCATTTATTCTCTCAACCCAAAGTTGAAACATTTTTCTGATTGGCTGCTCGACATTATAGCCACTGGGGATATGGATGCTTTTTTCCCAGCAGCAACACGTGAATACGCCCCACTTGTTGAGGAAGTATGGAAAGATTCTGCTATTCAAGAGACTTACAAGAGAAAGAATGAGCTCCACTTTCTTCCAGATGTAGCTGAGTACTTCTTGGGCAGGGTATATATTCTTTAGCAGTTCAAACCTAAATGTGCCGTATTTTACATTGAACCTCTTAAAATAAAATAAATCGAAAACTCCTGCTCTCTTGAAGTTATATGTGCCGCATTTTACATTGAACCTCATTTGGGGAACCGATGCTTGAATATAAAATATTTTGATTTTGTTTGGATTTTTTGGTTTGTTATGGTTAATTTTGACAAAAAAAGTCGTATGGCAAAAAAATAATTAAAGTTTATTTGATGTAAAAGTAGGAGAAATATGATGTGAAGTGATGGTTAGTTAAAATTATGTGAGTGGATTAATAGTGAATTAAAGTTGATGTAATGTGTAAGAATGATTATATAAATTGGAATTTTTTAGAAAAAATTGTATCCAAGCAGTAATATTATATAAATTCGTCTAATATTTGCTTTTACGTTAGTCTCGATATCTATTACAAGTTGTTCTTGAAAACTTTGCCGAAATTGATTTAAGTGCAAATAATCCTTCTCTGTTTTGGCTCGACAGGCGGTTGAAATATCGAGCAACGAGTACGAGCCTTCAGACAAAGATATACTGTATGCTGAAGGGGTGACTCAAGGTAACGGGTTGGCTTTTATGGAGTTCTCATTGGACGACCGGAGTCCAATGTCCGAAACGTACACGGAAAATCTTGAATCAGCCCCACCTCTGTCCAAGTAAGTTCCTTGTCCCGCATGATTCTTTTTCAGTCAATCGGTGTAAGTATTAGTGACTGAAAAATTCTGTCGTGACTCTTAAATATCACGTTTTCATGGGTACTTCACTGACTGGAACTGTTTTCGGTGGTTTATTGTCCTTCAACCCAAAAGGACATTTACAAATATTATTTTTCACACTGTTATAGTGTTGTGTCAAAGTCTGTATGAGTGAACACTTCATAACATAATTATGAAGAGGCATACTGAGTGATTCACTGGAAATCATAAATACCACAGAAAAGATAGATACAAATTCAATCATTTCAATGAAATTATTAGTACAAATGAATAAGGAAGTGATTTCCTTGACCGGTTTAAAAAAAAAAAAAGGAATTTTTCGTAATATCCAGGAAGATAGACAAAGTAGAAGAAAAACAAAACAAAGATTTTTATCTACTAATGACAACTTCTCCTCCTGCCCCTTCATATATTACCAGAATCTGAAAGCAATGGGAGGGCTGTTTTATACTTTTCTGTTTCTGGTTTTCACTTTTATGGCTTACTTTACTACACACTCTTTTTCTAACTTTGTGCAACTTCTATCTATTGTTTGGAATTAGACTACGAACTTCTGATTTTCGAATCTGCTTTTTGGATTTTCATGCAATAATGATCATCATATTCTCCTAAAAACTAAAGCTCTGCTGAAAAAAGACTACCATGAGTCGATGCTTATAGCTCGATTTGTTTATTTACTTAAAAAAAAAATTAAAAAAATGCGCACGTCACGCAACAGGTTCCAACTGATCCGAGTAAACGCCAAAGGCATGAATGAGGGTTGCAAGTGGGTTGAGATGTTCGAGGATGTCCGAGCGGTCGTGTTCTGCGTATCTTTGAGTGATTACGATCGGGTGTGTGCATCCCCAGACACATCCAATCCCGGGCCCCACCTCTCGAACCAGATGATCCAGAGCCGGGACCTTTTCGAGTCCGTGATCAAACACCCGTGTTTCAAGAACACACCTTTTGTCCTCGTACTCAACAAGTACGACTTGTTCGAGGAAAAAATCAACCGGGTCCCGCTGGGCTCATGCCCTTGGTTCACCGACTTCAGCCCAGTTAGGCCCCACCACAACACACAGTCACTGGCCCAACAGGCCTACTTCTACGTGGCCATGCGATTCAAGGAGCTTTACGCGTCCCTAACGGGCCAGAAGCTTTTCGTTTGGCAGACACGGGCCTTGGACAGGCTCACTGTAGACGAGGCTTTCAAGTACATACGTGAGGTTGTCCGGTGGGATGACGAGAAAGAGGAAGGCTACTATGCGGCCGGTGGGGAGGACTCGTTTTACAGCACAACTGACGTGAGTTCCCCACCGTTAGTCCGCCAGGAATGAGAAAAAAAAAAAAAAGAGAAAAAAAGAAATATCAGGAGGGGAAAAAGGTTCGAGTCGAGAAGAAAAAAAAAATGTTAATGTATATAGGCGGATGAATAAAGCTTTTTTCGCGCTTGTGGTGTCGGAAAGTGGTCTTCTTTATGTATGTAGTTTAGTTGTTTGATCTATTCTTAGGAGATGTTCAAAAGTCTGCAAATGTGTTGTGATAATCCTTTTTTTCGTTTTGTGTTTCTTGTGTAAGTTGTATTTTGTTGAAACTTTGAGATGGAAAATATGTGCTTGAATTGAAATGTAATAAACTGTGCCCAGTATTGGGCAATGTCTGTGACCACATTTGGAGAAGCTGTAATTAAGATACAGTTTGTGATTCACAGGGATTTTTCTTTAGTACTGTGTTGGTTGTTTTTTGTGACTCTGAATAATTAGCTAAGTTTGTTTCTGTGTAGAAGAGTGAATTTTGTGATGTCTTTTCTTTTTTTCTTCATCTCTTACACTTGCTGCTTATTTTAGAACGCTATTAAACACAAGTAGTGCTGTAATTTTGTTTTTTTTTCCCCTTAAAGAGGAAGAAATTTATATGTGAGTCGACCCGACCAAATTGAATAATGTCGATTCTGTGAATTCCTACTATTTTAACTTGGTTGAAAGATAAAGAAAATATCAAATTTCTGCTGCAATGATACCATGAATGAGACCATTGAAAGTTGAAACAGACTTGAGTGAACATTAATCACTACTAATACAAGAAATTGTATGCTAGCATAGAAACTTGTGTAAAGAAATCCCTTGCTGTTCAGTGTTCACTCATAAAGTAGAAAAAAGTCTTGGCTGAAAAATAGGAAAGGGCAGAAAAAGAAGAGAAACCCACAACATTACATGTCCCATGATGTTCAAAACCAAGGTTTCTCCTTTTGGCTTAGAGTATCTTCAGAATTCAAAAGGGGCAGCAGGAGTCTGAAAAAAAAATTAGGCAGCGACCAAATCGGGTGTTTCAGCCTCGACCGACAACAAAGCAGTATGAACCTTGTCCACCCAATTGTCCAGCCTGTCACGTAACGACTTGATCTGAGGGATACCTAAAACCCGAGGTTGCACCCACGACACGTAAACAGTGCCCTCAACTTGGTCGATGATTCCCTCTATCAAATGCACCTGCACATGAGGTTCAACAGTCGATTATGTCTACAAAGTCAAATGACGGTAAAAAGTTCACAATGTTTTTGCAGTACAGGTAAAAATTCATACTTTATGGAGTTATTACGCAGTGCAAGTCCGAATCAAGATAGTTAAAACGATGTGTTTCTGTTCAAGATATATACATGCACATAAAATCTTTGGTCACTTACAGAAAGGCTCTTCATGAGAAGATACTCCACATCTTCTACAGCAAGTTTTGTTCGCTCGGCAATGATACTTAATGGGATTGTCCTATCCTCTGATGGCCGGCTGCAAGCAAATAGTGTATTCTCAATACAATGATAAACCCTTTATGACTTCATAACTTTCAGCAACTTCATAACTTTGATTAGCATTTACCTGAAAATAATCTCCATCAAGCAGAGGATGTTGATCTTCTCAAGCAGCCTTTTCTCATTCTGGACTAATGCCGGTTGGGTACTCAGAGCAGCTCCATGCACACGACATAGTTCTTGATAGCGAACTAAATCACCAGTATTGAAAGCTTCAAGAATGTAGTAAAGCCACTCAACTTTAGTCCCCAAAAGACTTTTTATCTGCAATGATCACCCGGCAAAATATCAGCTCATCCATCCATACATAAATTTATGCTACACAACATCCCACCGAAAGGGCGTATGTAATAGATGTGAAAATCCGTACTACCAATCAAACCCCAACGAAATGAAGCTTCCAGATCTTACATAAATGACAACTATCATTGAATCCATGGGGCTACCTTACAATCATAAGCAAATAAACCCACTGGCTTAACTATTCAAATTAAAGAAGAAAAAACATAGAGAAAGAAAGAGAAGAAATATGTGCAACCAAAGCAAAGAATTTCAACCATTTAAGATAGTGTTCCATAAATCCTGTCTGATGGTCAACAACAAATATCCAAGACATCAACATTTACACTGAACAGTTGAAAATAGATTTTCCAAATTAATCATATTTTCACATTGTAAAAGAAGTGATATTTAAGGCTGAATAAAGTTATACCCGTAAACATAATTATGTACTTGCATGCACATCTACACAGAACGCAATACAAATCAATGCATCAGCATACCGTAGCGGCATAACCATTAGAAATGTTTTAGCTATGTAAGAAATCAGAAAAACCTGAACAAGTACTTACAATCGGATGAGCAAGAAGTTCGCCAAAGTTGTAGATGTTATCCCCCAACAAAGCTGAGAGAGACAAATCGAATGCCAAATCCTGATGAACAAAAAAGAAGAGCATCAGTAAGTTACTAGACAGAAATCACTATAATAGGTTCCATATGCGATTGGTTTAGCTTCTTTTTTTCATTTCTTATCAACTGAAGGTTTATTAATTTAGGCACAAAAAACATCATCAGACACCAAAATTAGGTGGCTGAACCTAGGCATCAATTTTTTCATCATTCAAAAGGTCTTTGTTGGAATGCTACAAGTTTCTGGAGAACAAAATCCATTCAGAAACCATCTTCCTAGCAATGTTATTAATGGCAGATGGCAGTACATGGCGGTTTGCCAAAGGCCGCCGTGGCGGTCTATGGCGCCGCCATGACCGCCATCACTCACAAATTTTGCATAGCGGATTGTCAAATCCGCCATGCCATACCGCCATGGCCGCCATTTGATAACACTGCTTCCTAGGTAATTGTGCATGTTAGACTACCAAGGCCGACAGATCAACAAAAGAACCATCAAATTAAGGACAAGTTCTGAAGATGCAAGTACTAAGACATTAGGATCTGACATGAGTTATATCTTTTTCATAATAATAATAACAATAAGAATAATTAAAATAATAAATCCTCAACCTCTCAAAAGCATGGGTCTAGGACACTATTCGATGCTGACTTGGTTAGAGATTAGAAATTCCAAAAATAAAAAGAAAACAAAATATGAGTGCAGCCTTGTCATGAATAGAACAGTGTTGAGATTATCAAACTCAAGAACAGAAATTAAGATACCATACCAACTTAAATGATTCTGACAGAGACTCTACAGAGGTGTAAGCTAAATAAAGGAGACCGCTTCTGTAGAACTCTGCAAATTCTTGACGGGATTTATGATACTGAGATGAAACCCAATAGTAGCTGGCATACACAGATGGATCAATGTCTGTCATGCTGTCAAGCGTACTCTTTCCCTCATCTAAAAGTTTTTTGCATTCCTTCTGATCTCCCTGATCAAGCTTGAACTGACCAATCTGCATTTTGATATAAAGTATTGGCTCCTCAATGCGTGATTCTCTGGTATTCCGAAGCTTCTCAATCACTCCTTCCAGGTAGTTTATAGCAGCTTCTTTCTCCGAATACTGTCGAGAAACTATGGCGGCAAAATGAGCAAGTTTGAGAAGATTGATCTTCGTCTCAAACTCACTTATGAAATTGTGGTAAAGCTGGATTAGAGCATCGCCAGCCTGAAACATAAAACAACAAAGAATAAATTACAAATAGGAGCTTCTTTTTCAAAAACAAATTAAATATACAGAAATAGAACAGGATGTTCTCATGAGCTCAATGAACTGCACGTTCAGGACTTTATTGGCCCAATGGCTACCAAGGATACATATTTGAGATGGACTATTAAGTTCTCGAGACTGCCTGTAAGCGGTAACTTAAACTCTCTAAGACATACATCGTTTCAGATAGAACGCGTCAATTCTCCAGAAAGAAATCCAAGGCAAACCCAGACCTCAAATAATTTCATGCTGTAACAAATCACCCTATTGTTCTCAGCTCTCATGAGCTTCTAGGTTGGTTGTTGCTGTTCTCCTAAGAACATTTACATATACTTCTTTTGTTTCCTACATCACGGCAGAAATAATTTTGTATCATCTTTATCTACACCCAAAACAACTTCCGACATACCAAAAAACCCTAATTTTAAAGACAATCAAGCCACCAAGCACCAAAAAAAAAGCAGGACAACAAAACCCTAAAAACTTAACCCCTAGCCCAAAATCACAAACAAAGCTCATCGAATTCTCCACTACAAAGCACAAGCAAACCCAGCTCAACTAATTGAAGAAAAACTGAAAACGAAAGCTAAACAAAAATACCCAAATCACAACAAAGAGAAAACTAGTAATCCATAACACATCCATAAATCAAATCGCTATGCATCTGGCTGAGTTAAACCTGAAACACAGCGAGGGCTACGAACTGTTCGAGCTTGAGCGTGAGCTGGTGCCATAACTTCCTCTGGTACAGATCTGAAAGCGCGTTGTACCACTCGGAGAGCTCTGGGTGCGCATTCCGCAGGGTCTCCAGATACTGCAGCGCCGCCATTGATTCCTCCACCTACCGTGCAATCTAACCGGCAACAGAGCCGCTCCTCACCGCCGGTGCGAAATTCTAGAGAGAGAGAGAGTGGAAAAATGGAGAGACGCTGGTGAATTTGCTCGAGAGTATAATTAAAATTGATTTTTATTTGTAATTTTATTTTTATTTGCATATATATTGCAGCTTCGAAACTTTTCTTTTTGGGGAAGAAAGGTATATTGGGCTTAGATGACCCGTTTTTGGGAATCATGGGTTAGGCCTCCTCTAAACTATTTGAGCCCGTTTTCAGGCTTTTCTTGAGCCCATTAGCTGGCCCAGTTTTGCAAGATGAACATCAAAATTAAGGAACCCGCGCCTGGATTTTGCAATTCCAAAATTGCAATTAAAAAATAAATTAAACTATATTATTGATATTGACTTGCAAAAACTAAATTAAATTATCAGGAAATTAGGCCTAAGTATCAACTTGCAATCTCATGTAATATATGCAAACTTCATTAAAAGTTTAGCTAAATTTTCAAATTTTAAAAATATGGTGATTTTGTTGCAAATTAATTTATATGACAAATTCATATGTACATGAACGGAGCCCTTATCATTAAAATCTTAGGTATAAATATACCAACTTGAAAAAATTTGATTTCGATATGAGATATTATACTAGACCGCCTTTAATGGATAAGAAGAAATATATTGAAAAATAAGTCCACATATGGGCCAAGACACGTGACAAAATGATATGAGCCAAGCTCAACTTGAGCATAAAGGTACACTCCCCTATAAAAGGGGCTAAGTATGCATCGAAGGCCCAACGCCGGGACCCCTCTCGGCGTTGGGTTCTGCAGGTACAGAGGCCGTCCAAATTGAAGGTGCCCAGGCAAAGTCTATTCCACCAACAGATTTAATCTGCAATTTACGAAAATGTCATTACTATTCCAACTACTAAACAGAAAAAAAAAAACGTCATATCACAATTTGAACAGAAAATAATCTATAATTGCTTAATAGTTTTAATGATTCACTAGATTTGACTGCTTGGATATACATACGACCAGTTTAACTATTAGCGATTGATTTAACAAATTACTTATCCATCTGCTTGGATATACAGACGACTGGTTTAATTGTTAGCGATTGATTTAACAAATTACTTATCCATCGACAAAATTTGAATAGTTGAATTATTATAAAGATAAAATATTATATGATTTTGTCACAATTCATTCAAGGAAAACAAGAAGCAACCACAACCCCACAAAATTCATGAACGCATTGACTTAAATTAATTTTAACACGCTTCATTAATTTCCTAACCCAAATCATGACAGCCACCTAATCCTAATCACGCCTAAAAATATCAACAAAAAAAAGAAAGGGCAAAATAAATAAATAAGTAAATAACTAACCAATAGAATCAAGAAAACACAGCAAAATCACATGTTAAACATTAGTGAGAGTCACTATCATTTTGTTTTTTTTTTACCTATGCCTTCCAAGCAAAGCAAAGCTGCTTGTTCTTTCCCTATATACATTCTTCTCCCACTCTAAAATAGATTTAAAAAAAAAAAAAAAAAAAACTTAAATGGGTTTTAAGGCCTCCTTCACTTTCTTTATCTTGCTCCTGATCATATTTTCCGGCAGCTTTTCCGAGGCGGCACATGGCGGGCCTCAGTGGCAGAGGAAGCTGTGGATGAACCACGGAAGCTTCCGTGGGCCCCGCGATCGGTTGGTGAATCCAACGGTCGAGCATCGATTTGAAGTTCCTGAGTTGGCTCTTTAGTTACTTAAAAGAGTTTGTGAGCAAAATTCAAGGTATTTTGTGTGTAATAGTGCTGTATGATGAAATTGGAACTGTGATGTGAATTATATAGCTTACTTTGTACTGAGGGATTATGTAAGTGCTACCAAAATTGTAGATTTTTTTTTTCTTTTCCTTTTTTTATTGAAAAATAAAAATAAAAATGTTATTTTCACATATTGGGTATCATATATTTTACAAGTCTGTTCATTTTATGTAGAACATTTTAACTCTAAAAAGGCCAATATAGTTGTATTTTTATTTGATACATATATAACCAAACTAATATTCACAAGTGTTAAGTTATTATACATAACTTATTATCAATCAACAATCAACATATATAACAATATGATAGTAAAAAACAACCATCTGATTTGAGAGACATTATAATAGATATAAAATGGTCTGATACAGCCTTTGATCACAATCTTCCTGGCCTCAATCAAATACATGTATTCTAGAGTAAATAACCCCATAATAAATAAAAATAAATACTGATTCCTGTTAAAAAAAAATAACGGCCGATAGATCTTTATAATTTTTTCTGGTCTTAAAACCTGAATCATTATAAAATAGGCAAGAACCCAATTCATCTATAGCTTCTTGTTGAAGAACATTCTCAGCAAATGGCTTAACTGAAAAAAATGTGTCAAGATGTTGACCACTGCAACATCCTTGAATCAATCTTCATCATCAGAGTTGTCGAACTTTATTTTTGTAGATTTGGGAGCATTAGCATCAATTTCTCTGAAATGAGCACCATACAGCTTCGACTCCTGCATCAAGTTAGCAAAACTACATTAGCCGAGTGTTTATGGTAAAACTAACAGCCAAAAATGCCGATGTGACATGCATATATTTGGTGAAATTCAACATATAAATTGAATTTACAGATAAATATCATAGTTCTCAACAGGTTATTCTCAAACTATCGTGGTCTACTCATGTTTCTACATTAGGCTTCAAAGCCAATGTAAGTAAACTAATTATAAACTCGAATATGATTGAGTGTCAAACTTCCCTAACGTCCACAGTAATCAAGGTATAAGCAGCTGTTAAACTATTGGATTCCCATTTCCCGATCAAATTATTCAAAATCCCAACTAACGTGACAGTAAATGAAAGATATTATCAAAAGAAGGTAGCCCATTTGTATGTTCTTTTCAGCAAAATTCTAATTATAAGGTAACGATTTCTTTCCATGTCTATGCTCAATGTCCAATTGTCCAAACATTCATATTTCACTACTTGTAAGAAAGGGTATTACGATTACTAACCTTTTTCTTGACATGAGTCCCAAATTTCAGTAAGCTTTCAGGCACGACCTGCTGAGCTTCGCGGAGAACATTTACTAACTCCCCAGCAAGTCCCTGAAAAAGAAAATGTTGCCAATTATCAGCAGAACATCTAACTACCTGTAGAGTGAATTTAAAAATCAGAGGAGATCGGCACAAATTTACAAATAATGTTTTGATGTAACAACCTTGTTTTCCTTCGTGAAGAAGGTGTGGGCCACTCCCTTCTTACCAGCTCTCCCAGTCCGACCTATTCTGTGCACATAATCCTCTGTCGTGAGAGGGAAACTATAATTAATGACAACTTCAACGTCAGGAATATCCAATCCTCTAGCAGCAACATCAGTTGCTATCTGCACAAATACATGAACAAGGTAGACTTCACTAAATTTTTCGACATGTGATAATTGAGGAACAATTAAAAAAAAAAGGTAACAAGGTTCTAACTTCTATGATCAATCATCTATTCCTAGCTGTAAGTGGAAAAAAAAAAAGGATAAATAACTTGCCAAATAAAAAAAGGTAACCATAGAAGAGTAACTAGGATCCAAATGGTAAAAATTAAAAAAATGGCATTAGGAAAGACATGTAGTTAAAGAAAAATTAGAGTTGGCAGGGGTAGAGAACTGGAATTAAGCCAATAAATATATTTTGTGAAAAAATGGCTAGGGCATACCATTAGAGGACATGTACCATCTTTAAATAGAGACAGTGCTTGGGTTCTTGCAGATTGTGCTTTGTCACCACTTATAGATACGACTTTCCAACCCCTGTGAATTAGAAAATAAAAATAGAATTTGTTGGTAAAGATATAAAATGACAACTATAATAATAACATAATGCAAGAGTGCAATTTCAAAGCGTAAACGGTCACAAGATATCACCTTTTGTGCAGCATATTCTCTACCCTTGATGCTTCTTTCTTGTATAAAACAAAAACCAACACCCTATTCCTGCCAGAGATTATAAAACTGTGAGAAAGATGTGAGAAATCATTCTAGATAGGGGGCAATGAAATAAGTTCAAACATGCTCTTTGTTGGACAATTCCAAGTACCAAGAATAACATAGGCACAGGAAAATATTCTGAAATATTGAAACAAAAACCGCCCCAGGTAGCTAAAGTGGACAAATTTGCACTCATATTTACAAGATTGGGAGATTCAGTCAACTGATACATCAAGAAACAAAGATGAAAAATTGAACTGCTAAAAAGAAGGGATTGAGGGGAATAGCAACTGTACACTGTACAGGTCAGATTCATATACTGAACCTAGCCGCAATCTTGGTTGTCACTGTACACCGATCTGCTACATTTCTCAAGTGGTTTATGTCCAGAATATCAGATTATGGAGATCATAACTTGATTTGGAGTTGGAAAGAGACTAAGTATAAACTATAAAGTATAAACTAATTTTCTAAGAGAGTAATTTGAAGTAGCATCACATACTTTCTAGACTTGTGGTATTTCTCTAGCAAATTCTGCAACCGTTCATCACGTGCCCGATCATCCAACACCTGTAGTGCCAGGGGAGCGAAAACTTCATTGTAATAGAAAACAATAAATATTCTGCATATGAACAATACAGTACATCCTAATATCCCATTGCCATTACCAATCAAACCATACCTCCACTATCTGCATGACATCATGGTTAGCAGCTAAATCTTCCGATCCCACAACCACCTGACGCATTTAAATTTTAATTAGAAAACAGCTTAAGAAAGTATACCGTAAGCAGTCAAGGCAAGTACCTCAGACAATTCATACCTTAACTGGGTTCGGATCCATGAACTCCTGAGCTAATTGATGCACAGCTGGAGGCCATGTTGCACTAAACATTACCATCTGGCGAACTGAGCACCATGTCATATGGAATTACACGCAACCAAACGAAGAAAATAAAAAAAAGATGATGAGCAAGCGCGACAAATGGTACTTATTATCGCACACAAATTAGACATTTGTATATCACAGAAATGATGAAACCCACTCAAAGTGAAGGTTAATGATGAGACCCCACTAGAATTTTTAAGGTTGAGAGGAAGTGCAAAATTAAGAATAGTAAATTCAACGTGTTCAAAATGACATTCCATCGGACGTTCGACGTCATACCTGAGCATGTTTGACTTAATATTGAGCGAACCTCAGGTTCAAATCCCATATCAAGCATGCGATCAGCTTCATCTAGGACCTAAAGCGTAAACCACATTAAGACACGGTATGGCCTAAATTGAGCTTAAAAAGTTAAACAGGAATATCAACTATCATTTCATGTCAAAAAAGCGCATCAGCACCCATAAAAAACGAAAAGAACTGTTTAACTAGGCCAGATACAAAGAACTGTTTAATGAACCGCCAACCTAACTAGTCCTAGCCTCCTAGGCACTTCACAGCCATTCATAACATTATAGAGCATAGTATAACTGGGAACAAAAAAACCAGAAGCATAGACATCATGTCAATAAGGGGCAAGCTAGAAATCACCTTTGAAATAAGAAGATTACATGTTTACATTTTGTAATTGGAGTAATTTCAAAACGTAATACAAGTGATTTAATATTAAGCTACCAGATGGGTTTGGTAGTCTGGAGTGCACTGTTAGTAAATTAAAATAATAAGTTACCTAGTCTAAAACAAATACTTAACCGACGATAAATAACATATAAAATACAAGCAATGAAAGAAGAAAAAGAAATAAGTCTTCCAGAAATAACCAGCCACCTATTACCAGTGCAGTAACAAAAGAATTCCGACTTACCACAAAGGATACCTCCTTTAGGTTGCACACTCCCATTTCGATCAAGTCCTTCAAACGACCTGGGGTTCCAATAACAATGTCCTGAACAGAACAACAAAAAACAGGCGCTTAAGGTATTGAATTCGAAGCATGTCAAACAATGAGAGGAAAAACCATATCATTCTGTCTGTTTCTCAGTTCACGTGCTGCTAAAGTTTTCAGGACAAAAATATTTATCCTCTCAAAGAACATTAGCTACAAACTTCTACATAATTTGGATGTTCTGGATGGAACGTGTAAGTACATAGAGGGTGCTCCGTGTTCCAGAGCTTCAGAATCAAATAATATATCTTACATTAATAATATGATGTATATAGATACAGGATATGACCTATAACTACTGCATGTATGATGTACCCATAAAATAAATTGTCAGCTACAATAGGCAAAAGCTGGTAGCCACCAAATGCCAATTACAGATGCAGTGACATGCATAGAGAAAACCTAATGAGGGCTATTGACATGCAGTGTCAATATTTTATCGGGAGTTCAAAAGTAAGAAAAACTTACCACACCAGATTTTAGAGCAGATATTTGGGGTCCTTTAGAAGTTCCTCCATATATACAAACTGACTTTACTCCACTAGGCTTGCCAGCATCACAAAGAACATCTGAAATCTAGCACATTTATGAATCATCAGTCTACATCATTAAAAAATCTTTCACAATATTAAAATTTATATATGTGGTCATTGAACACTTGTATCTGAGAAAAGGCTTCATGGACACATGAGTTAATGGATAAATATCTGTATTATTGAGCAAGAATCACATTTACAAATATTTAGCAAAATCAGTTCTATAGTCGAAACTCGAAAATACATTCAGCTCGAGGAAAATGGGCATATTTGTTCAGACAGGATACCTTCAATACCAAAAGCATAATAATGCCAAACATGACCTTGTTTTCAATAACCCAAACATACACTTGTAGTTCAATGTACAAACAATGGAACACGTTCCACAGAACCAACAAATTAAGAACATACTTGTTGAGCCAGCTCCCTTGTCGGTGACAGAACAAGACAACGTGGAATCACTTTCTTAGAGGTACTGCTCTCTCGCTTGCCTCGAACGTGAACCATTGCAGGAATTCCAAATGCAAGCGTCTTACCTAACAAAACCAACCACACACACATAACAAAAAGACCACACGGATCAAAAGAAAAATGTTGAGAGTGTTGCAACAATGAAATTAAGAGAGAAACAAGAAACTGTACCGGACCCAGTGGCTGCAATTCCAATTAAATCACGGCCATCAAGCAGAAAAGGCCAAGAATTAGCTTGAATTGGCGACGGCTTATCAAATGTTCTACAGCAGTCCAAAATTTCACTCGAGAGCCCAGACTCCACAAACGAGTCCAAGGCCTTGTATTTCGAATTATTCACGTTTTTCCCGGACACCACAACGCCGGTTCCCTCTCTCACACCCTCCGCAACATGCTCAACACCTTCTCTCTTACTTTTCTCCTCCTTCTCTTTCTTCTTCTTCTTTGAAGATCCGACCGACCCATTAACCGCTCCCTTTTCCTCTGATTCGTCCAATTTCAGCTTCACCATTTCTTCAGGCTTCTCCTTCTTGTTCTTCTTCTTGGCGTCGCTTTTCGATTCTGTAACGATATCCAGGTCGTTTTCTTCCATCTTCCGCTTGTGCTTGTTCTTGTGCTTCTTCTGCGGCTTCGTCTCGCCATGGTCGGCGGCGTTCGGAGCCTCTGGTTCGGGCTTGTGATTCTTTTGGCCGGCCATTGTTGACGGTGAGGACGCCTAAAACCCTAGGGAGAAGCAGTTGGGCTATTGTGTGAGGTCTTGGGCGTGGCGGCAAATCGTGTGCTGGTACCGAAATGTATTAATATAGGTTGTGCATTGCACATATAGCCCATAATACTAAACTAGTGTGGTACCGTGTCATGCATATGCTAGTTTTATAGTAGGTAAGCATTTAGATTTAGATTATTGAAAGAATAATATGTAATTTATATATTATTAAATAATATGTAATTTATATATTATTAAACACATTCTTACATTTTGGTATATCGTCTATCGCAACAAATTATATTAGTATTCTAGATATGCTTAAATAAATCAATTAAATTATATAGCAAGATACATACGATATGATTATACTGGTTATAAGAAGATTGCAGAGCTAAATATAATAGAGATTGTAAAATGTCTTTCTTGATAATCTATAGCCTTATTATTTTAAAATTGTAAATTATTTAATTTAAGAAAGAGAAAATTGTGAAAATGTATGCCACAAATTTCAAATTTGTATTTTAGAGGATTAAACAAAACTCAAATTTTAGGATGTTTCAGTTTAATTTCATTTTGAATTTCTAATTAATATTATTTGACTTTGTTTTATGTTTGAAAGATATTCAAACTAAATAAAGTAATAGCCAAATGATAAGAGATTTTTAAAAACTAAATGAATTCATAAACAAACACTCCCTATATCATTTACATTTTATACTCAAAATATAACTCAACCTCATTATCATTAATATTATTCATATAATTAAATAATACAAATCAATTGTTTTTACACATCACATCAAGTTTAGTTTACTATTCATCCACTTATATAATTTTGACTAACAATCACTTCACATTATATTTTTTCTACTTTCACATCATATCAACTTTAATTGTTTTATTTTAAGGGTGTTGATTTTTACCGCCCCCCTTTTCAATTATTACCGCCCCCTAAAAGTCGTTTTTGCCCTTTCTAATAAAAAAAAAAATACATTCATTATTCACTTTACATATTTTTTCTCCCGGTTCCGGACTTCGAAAAATTCCGAAAAAAATTCCGACCTACTCCGGCGACGACGATGGCGGCGAGTAAGGTAAAATTTTTTTTCCTCGGCGGCTGGCCGGCCGGACCGGCCGGTTCACCCATGGCCGGCCG